GGCCCAGTCCGGCCTCCGTCGGCCCCACTGCATTCCCCCCTCCTGACCGTCTCTCCAGGTTCTGCTCCAGGGAGCTATGGCCGGTGTCTTCTCCCGTCTGCCGCCCGCCCGCCCCGGGCTCAGGCTCCTGGCTCTGGCCGGAGCTGGGTCTCTCGCCGCTGGGCTTCTGCTCCTCCCGGAACCCGTTCGGGCAACCCGCGATCGCCGGAGGCTGTATCCTCCAAGGTATCAGGTCCCAGGCAGTGGGGTGAGAGGGAGGTGTGAGGGGAACGAGAGATCCAAGAGGGGCGCCTGTGCCACAGACGAGGTCTCTGATTATGGAGGTCCTGAAGTTGGGAGACTTCGGGAGGGGGGAGGTAGGAATGGGCCCAAGCCCCCAAGTAAGAGCATTTCCGGGTACCTGCAGCCCACCTCCACCCAGACCACCTCTCACAATTCTAGTTGCACGTACTACTCAATCCATAATCCGAAAGACATAATCTGTCTGTCCTTCTGTTGCCCTCCACCTCCTTTTCCTGCTGTTCTCCCGTATTTCTTGAATTCTTCTTAGTCTTTCCCCCTCCCCCATCCCTAATGTTGTGCTCACAGGAGGAAAGAACTGTGAGTGTCTGGGGGAATTGAGTCAGCCAGCCACAGGCATCTAGAACTTGTTGAGAAAGAACAGACCCTGAAAGTCCCTAAAGAGATTATGAAGGCTAAACCTACCTCTAATTCCCCTCCTCCCACGGAGCAAAGTCAGACCGGGCTAGTTGGACAGCTCCCAGCTGGCCGCACTGGGTCTAGGTTCCTGTGCCCTTCCTCCATGGTTACTGGGGTACCCCCTTCCCAGCGCTGAGTACCCAGACCTCCGAAAGCACAACAACTGCATGGCCAGTCACCTGACCCCAGCAGTCTATGCACGGCTTTGCGACAAGACCACACCCACTGGTTGGACACTAGATCAGTGCATCCAGACTGGCGTGGACAACCCTGGCCACCCCTTCATCAAGACTGTGGGCATGGTGGCTGGAGATGAGGAGACCTATGAGGTAGGGGATCCCCAGAGTCTCCCTGCTGACCCCAGTCATCTTCCCAGTAATCCCTGCTCCTCCCTGAAGATCCCTCACTTTCCCTCAAGACTGGACCATCTATATGCCAGCTTTCTGACCCAGAGAAATCAATCCATAATTGACATGTAAGAAGGAATTTCTTCTCTGTAACTACCTCTCCTTAATAACTTCCCCTCAGGTATTTGCTGAGCTGTTCGACCCTGTGATTCAAGAGCGACACAATGGATATGACCCCCGGACCATGAAGCACACCACTGACCTGGATGCCAGTAAGGTGGGCCTCGTGTTCTGCTTCTGGATTGTGTCACCTTGGGGACAACATTCTGTATCTTCAATGCCTTCACCTTATTTCCTGGCTCATGCTCATTGCACAGCTGAGCTTTTAATCTTGATGTCAGGAAAGAATCTATCTTAGGGAATGACAGAGAAGGAGATGATGGGGTAGAGGAAACTGAGCGTGCTGTAGTGTGGGACGTCTGGGGAGGGGTCCCCGTGCCCTTTCAGATTGCAGGGCTCTCTAATCCCTGAGGCCTCTTATTTGCACCCTCTGTGTTTCTGTGACTTGTATTCATTTTTCTTATCTCCCAGATCCGTTCTGGTTACTTTGATGAGCGGTATGTCTTGTCCTCACGAGTCAGAACTGGCCGAAGTATCAGAGGACTTAGTCTGCCTCCAGCCTGCACCCGGGCTGAGCGACGAGAGGTAGAACGTGTTGTGGTGGATGCGTTGAGTGGCCTAAAGGGTGACCTCACTGGACGTTACTACAGGCTCAGCGAGATGACGGAGGCTGAGCAGCAGCAGCTTATTGATGTGAGTGTCCTGGAGAAGGAACCTGGTGGGCAGAGCAGATGGATGGATAAAGAGCCAGAGGGGAGGCTGGGCAGAGGCCTGGGGCCACCATGATGGTTCCTAACCAACCTGAATCACTTTGCTTTCCCCAGGACCACTTCCTGTTCGATAAGCCTGTGTCCCCATTGCTGACTGCAGCAGGAATGGCTCGAGACTGGCCGGATGCTCGCGGAATCTGGTGTGAGGCTGCTCCTTACCTCTTTTATCCTCTATGCATGCCACAAAGATTTTTTTCTCTCTTCCAGTTCTCATCTTGCCTCTTGATCCCTTTACCTTCTGCCCTCAGGCATAACAATGAGAAGAGCTTTTTGATCTGGGTGAATGAGGAGGATCACACCAGGGTCATCTCCATGGAGAAGGGTGGCAACATGAAGAGAGTGTTTGAAAGATTCTGCCGGGGCCTCAAAGAGGTTGGAGAAGGGTGTTCAGAGAGCCAGATGGGAGGAGATACAGAAAATCAGACAGCAGCCTAGGCACACTGACTACATCGTTTGTCATCCAATCCATGACATTTCTGGTAGTAAAAAGGGTCACTGTTAATTACTACTCCAGGACAATGGGTATAAACTTGGACTGTTCTGGGAAAACCAGGACATAGGGTCACCATAAGAACAGGAAGACAGAAACCTACAGAAGTAAACAGTTGTCAGATAATGCAGAGAGAGAACAGCAGAGGCAGTGAGTCACTACCTGGGGTTCAGTGAGCTGTGCAGACTGAGAATGTTTGTACCTGTGTTGATGTCAGAGGTGAAAGATGGTATAATTCTGTTTCTAAAGTCACCCCCAGTTCTGAGCTGAGGTAGGCCTGGACTCTGGGTGCTGCTGTTCCTGCCGAAGCCTCATGTCCAGGCTTTAAGCTGAAAGTGGCAGAGAGACCCTGGGGAAGTGGAAGATGGAATGGCTCAAGTTCAGAGTGTGTGGCTCTCAGGAGGTGTTGATCTGAATCTGTAATCCTGTGTGGATTGGGTCTGCATAGTCATTTTTATATGAGAAACTCATAAACTCAGCACTTACTGCACGTTCTCATATATACAGTTCTATTTTGGACTTGCAAAGAAAGCGAGCTCTTTTAGTTTCTAGCCAAGAACTTTATACTATTTTTGGCACATAATGGATAAGATATTGTGGCTATATGAATGAGTAGGGAAGTATTCTTTAAATTACATGCCTCAGTTTTCTCATCTACAAACAAGATAATAAGATTCCTATGTTTTAGGTTATTGGGGGATTAAATGAAATAATGCAGGTAATTGATCCACAGACAGTCTCAGTAAGTGTTTGCTGTGTTATTATCCTTGATGTTCAGCATGTAAGAATCCCCCATGCCGTGGCTTTTCTGAACTGTAAGCCGGCCCTTTGCTTATGCTGGATGATGGGTTTGTGTCCACTGCTCTGGCAGATCTCCTGTCTCCTTAGCTTCAATCGTCTTTGTGATTGGGATGGTTAAGTAAAACAGAAATGCCCATCCCATGCTCCTGTTCCTTTCACACGTCTCTTTGCATCTGGCTTTTTTTTTGCTCTGTTTTCTCAGAGCTTGGCTTTCTCCCATATTTCTTCTATAGCCAACAGAAGGCTTTTTTACCTCTTCCTGTTGCAAAGCTTACACCCTCATTTTCTGCCTGCAAGGACCCTCTGCTTATTATCAAAGCAGAGAAGGAGCTGGGGAATTAGCTCAGTGGTTCTACCACCTGCCTCACAAGCGCAAGGACCCAAGTTCCATCCCGGGTACAAAAAAAAAAAGCAGAGATAATCAGTGCATGTAGAACTCATTGAATAGTCAATCTTTTCTTTGCTCAGCTTACCCCTCTGTTCACTCCTAGATCTTTCTGCATGCATCACTCCTCAAGTTTCTTTGCATGCATGACCATAACAAACTAGTTTCGCCAAAAGGAAAGGAAAGGGAAGGAAAGGACAGGACAGGACAGTGTCAATTATTACACCCAGGTTTCTGGTTCTAGACATATTTCTAGAGTTCCTGTGGGTCTAACTAAGATAGGGTCCACACATCCTTGACTTTTTCACTAACAACTTTTATGGACTCAGGTGGAGCGGCTGATCCAGGAGCGTGGCTGGGAGTTCATGTGGAATGAGCGTTTGGGATACATCTTGACCTGTCCATCTAACCTGGGCACTGGACTTCGGGCTGGAGTGCACATCAAACTACCCCTGCTAAGCAAAGTAAGGAACTCTGGGGTTAGAGAGGGTTAGAGGTGTGTGGATGGGGAGGGAGGTGGCGTGGGCACTCTGAGAGGAACCCGACGTATCATGACTAATGGATCAGAAGAGAGAGCTCTGAGCAGGTGGGGACAGTCTCTGCCACTCTTGACCCTGCCTCCAATCCCTGTCTCTCTAGGATAACCGATTCCCAAAGATCCTGGAGAACCTGAGACTCCAGAAGCGTGGTACTGGAGGAGTGGACACTGCAGCCACAGGCAGCATCTTTGACATCTCTAATCTGGATCGGCTGGGCAAGTCAGAGGTGAGGTTCTGAGGAGTGAAGAAGGGAGGAGCGGTGCAGGTCTGCCAGAGCTGAGAACTGACCATGCGTGAGCCGCGAGAATGTAACAGAATCTGAACTGAAGTCCTGGTTGGGTGGGGAGGCAACTGAAAATGAATTTCCAGAGCAGGAGAGTCAGTCAGTGCTAAAGAAAGAAATGCAGGCTATGGGAAGCAGAGATCAAGGGTTCGTGTTCTTCAGGTGGAGCTGGTACAGCTGGTCATCGATGGAGTGAACTATCTGATTGACTGTGAACGGCGTCTGGAGAGAGGCCAGGATATCCGAATCCCTGCACCTCTTATCCACAGTAAACATTAACCCCCATCTCCAGCAGATGACTCAAGATCCCCAGGACTCCTCCTCCCCATTTAGGGGTGGATGATTCTATTTGCCCTGGACCTGCCCTCCACCTCACCTCCATCCTAGTAAAGACTCCTTGCTATGCTCTTGCTGTTTGTTTCATTCTATTGGTGGGGTAAAGAGGAGCAGCCTCCAGGAAATGAAAAGAAACAGTGGGTTTTTTTTTGTTTTTTGGTTTTTTTGATGATGGAAGGAGACTCTAGACACAGCATGCCAGGAAAGCTGGTTCTCAGGTGGGTGGAAAGCATTAGCATTTACCCATATTCTTCACTAGCTTCCTGAGAAGAATTAAAATGCACTTTATTCATTATGATGTAAGGTTTCCCTGAATAGCAGTCTCTCCCAACTGTAAAGACAGGCTCACAGCAGGTGTCAGGAAAGCTGATGGTCAGACTTAGGGCTCAGGACATTTGTGGCTGGTTTGGGAGGCCCCAGGCTGAGTGTCAACCTACAGTGAGGCAAGGACAGAAGAAACATCACAATTTTGCTCCCCAGGATCCACTGATACTTAGAAACTAGCTCTCTACCTGTAGGCCCTTTCATTTGGGGCCGCTCCCTTGGGGGTGGCGATGGTGGGGGGCTTATTATAAGAGCCAGACAGACCAAAGTAGGGCTTAGATTCTGGATCAAGAGACAGGGTCAAGCTGTGCAGTTGGGAATTCGCTCCGATGTTCTGGGCTTTTCCCTCATGCTGAATCCAGGCAATAGCTCATCACTGCTCAGCCCTCAGGCCGTGTACTCAGATGACGGGCACAGGCTGAATACTGGTGGGGCTGAATACCATCTAGAGGTAGGGACAGGAATCCATGCATCCCTTAGCCCCCAGGCTCTCCTGTGGTCAACCCAGACCCCAGACCATTGAAGTTTATACAGCAAATGTAGGGGCGAGGATGACAAAAATGGAATCTGGAATCCCCGCTGTTGAAGAAAGGAAGATACACCTAACTGTCCCTCCTCTTCAAACCTACAGACTGTCTCCCCTCTGCTCCCAAAGTACCTTACCACAGATCTTCTCTAATAGGTTTTCAGCCCGTTACTTAAATACAGTGGGCCCTCAAGTTGGATCGGCCTGATATACAAACAACTTGGGCTAATTAAGTTAATGGAAGATTCAGCTGCCTCTTGTTATCTATAGTGTGTACCCAGGTAAACATCCAGATCTCAGTCGTACTGACTTAGAACCAACTTGAGTTACAACCAACCCTCAGGAACTGGACAAGTTTGTAAGTCAAGGGTCCATTGTATTACCTGAGACTTCTACCTTCAGAAATCCAGGACAGTCCTCTGCTCAGTCCATCCACAGTATGGAAGCCAAACCCTGGCAACTAGAACCAGCAGTTGCCCAGCCTCCCCACCTGCTGTCGTGCCAATTTCAGTGAAGATCTCAGGTCAACACTGGGCCAAAGCCTTTACCTATCCCCCAGAGTACTGAATACAGGTTTCCCATAAAAAGAGCTGCTTGGCTATGAAAGAGAAAGGGAGAATTCCCTTTGGTGACGGGCAGAGGTCAGGAGAGGAGACAGATGACCAAAGTGCTTCCTCCCTCCATGGATCAATTTCGAGATCCTGTCATCCCAGAGAGCCCTCAGCACCACAGCCCCTCCTCAACTCTTAACTGCTACCATGCTGTAGCTCCTCTGGCTGCAGCCCACAGAGCACTCAGCCCTGGGCTGTCAGGTAGATGAAGCCCAGGTGGGTCACATGCCAACCACTCTGCCCTCAGTATAAACCACAACCTGGAGCTAGGGAGGGGCAGAGAATAAGGGGAGAGTCTGGGGAATTAATGGCTGGGGAAGTGACTAGGGTGTGGTAGGTAGTAATGGATTCTAAGGGTCAAAAGATAAAAAAGCCCTAGAGAAAGACAAGGACATCCCCTCACCCCTGAGAGAAAATACGATTTTAAAAAAAGAGGCCTCAGAGAAAAGTGGCAGGAGAATATTACTGTACATGGTTCAGGTACTCAGTGAATAAAGTAGCAGTGACCCGAGGTCACTAGCATGAGTTACCAAGAAAAGATAGAAAGTACAGACAGGGACGGGAAGGAGTCCTTGGGCCTTGGATAAACTGGAAGATTGGGTCTACGACAGATGTCTGGGGAGGGAGGAGAGAAGCAGTGATACAGAGCTCCAGCCTGCATCTGCCCAGAGGTACCCAGCGCTGCCTGATCCCTCCTTGGCCTGAGATCCCCATAACCAGCTCACTGCATGCCTTTACTCTCTACATTCTCTACTTCACTCTGGAGATCCAGGAAATTGCCTCAGTATGTAGAGTGAATACTGGGCATCTGGCTTGCTCTATTTCAGCCTAGATCCACAACTCTGATTTCCTAAAGGACAGGGAGAAGATTATGGGCTGGGAAGCTGAGAGACCTTTAGGGAAAATGCCATGGTAAAAGTGGGGACTTAGAGGTCCAGGAGACATTAAGCATGTGGGATAGGCTGGCACTGATGAAGGTGATTAAGATGCTAGGTATAGGATAAGTTCGAATCTAAGGTTCCCAAAGGTCCATACCCAAGGACAGGCTCCTGAAACAGCAGCCATCCCGCCTCTGGCAAAGGTCTCTCCTAGGCAGAAGCCCTGTAGCTCTTTGAACCAGCTCCACTTCCAACCTAATACACGGACAGCCTGTCCATCAACGGCTCCTATTCTAGCAGCTGGACAATAAGGGCACTCGGTTGAAACTGAGCCAAGTCAAGAAGGGACCCCGGGACCCCACATGCCCCAGACAGGCTTTAACATCAGACCAAGTGCTGTGACCCTGGACTGGAACTGATATTAAATCAACAGTCCTGAGTTAATTACCACTATTTGAGTGAAGGGAGAGAACAAAAAGAGTGACTTATTTCAACCTGGTCCAGGGGGCCCAGAGAGTACACTGAACTTACAGGTAGGTGACCAGAATATCTGGATCCATACCCTTATTCCTTTCTAGGAATGCCTTTGTTCTTTCTAAGAAGTTACAGATAAACTAAGATTAATGCTGCAGGCCATACACCCTTGCTACATGCCTCGCTTTGCTTCCCTATTAAATTAATATTAGCTAAGCAACTGTACTCGTAATCCTATAGGTAGTTTGACCCAGAGCTACCCAAGCTGTGATCTTGCTGTATAAAATACCCTTGGACAAAGAGCCTCAGCAGCAGCCCACTTTTGGGGTGCCTTCTATCTCTCAGGAGATTCTCTCAATAAACCTTTCCTGCTCTTAACCTCTTTTGTCCTCAAGTCCATTCCCCAGTATCCAGAGACATGAACACAGCATATCCAACAGGTGAGAGTCATTCCTCAGGATACTAAGCATTTTTTAAATTTTCTTATCCCTCTTTCACAAATGAGAAACTTGGGTTTTCTGAGGCACAGTCCAGGATCTTTCACCCCATCTAGGCCATCGGGATTCTCAACTACCTCAAAGATTCTGTGTTGGCTGGGGGTGAAGAACAAGATGGTGGTGTCAGAGTGACACGGCGACTGGCCGTCCCAGCCCTCTCAGAGCCCATATCCAGCTGGCAAACGAACAGCCTGAATGAGAGTCTCCAGACAAAAACATGGTCGTTGGTCGGGCTGCCCTGGCAGACCCTCCCGTAAAGTGAGAAGGCCTGGTTCTAGGACCTGTGCCACCTTCAGTGGTGCTCGGGGCACACCACAGAGGACCCGGCTGGGCCAGGCTGCGCTGCCTCTCGGGATGGCTAGCAACAGTGACTCTTCTGGGGGGCATTTGCCAAGTTTAACATCACCCGTGGGGAACAAGTAGCAGTGAATCCAGACTCTTGAGTGCCAGACATGGCTGTTGTGAAGTCTGAGATTCAAGATGGGGCTCGCATCTCCTGCATCCAGTGGTCTGGTCTAGAGAAAGACATGCTGGTCATGGAACTTATGGGACCCAGTCTCAAAGACCTTTTCAGTTTCTACTCAGGAAGATTCACAATGAAAACTGTTTTTGTTTTGTTTTGTTTTTTGTTTTGAGACAGGGCCTTGCTTTATAGCTCAGGCGGACCTTGAACTCACTATGTAACCCAGGCTCACAAAGCTCCTCCTGCCTCAGCCTCCTGAGTACTGGGATTATGGGCATGCCCCACCACGCCTGGCAGAGAACTATTTGTGTTAGCTGATCAGATGATCAGTAGATTCTAAAATGTGCATATGAAGAATTTCATACCCAGAGACATTAAGAAAGGTTACTTCCTAAGGGGTATTGAGTGTTGCTGTAATAAGTTATTCCTTACTGATTTGAGTTTGGCCAAAAAGAAAAGAGACAACGCCACAGGGCAATACACATCACACAGAGAAAAGAAGAGCCTCGCCGGCATGGCCTGATGATCTAGCGTCATTGTACATCTCGGTATTACGCAGTCACCAAGATGATATGGAACCCTTATACTATGTTTTTGTGTATTTTATTAGAACCAACCTATCATGGAAAGGACGAAAGGTTGCAACAAAAAAGCAAAAATATAAAAAGAAAGATGTCTGCTCCTGCTGAAGTTTTGTTTGAGCTTTTTCTGAGTTCCCTACAGAATTTGCCATGCACTTAAACAGTTGGAGGTCACCCCAGACCCCATGTTTCCGAGACAGCTACTCCGCATCGTTTTCCAGACCCTGACCCACCAATGTGACTACACATTTGATTGGATGCGGCTAAAGCAGTGGGCAGCCTCTTCCAGGGTGCAGCAGCTTGCCCTCACCGGCAAGCAAACTGACAAAACCCAGAAAGGCCGGGCGTGGTGGCGCATCCTGTAATCCCAGCACTCAGGAGGCTGAGGCAGGAGGATCGCTGTGAGTTCGAGACCAGCCTGGGCTACATAGTGAGTTCCAGGTCACTCTCAACTACGTAGTGAGACCCTGTCTCAAAAAAACAAAAAAAACAACAAAATTAAAAAAATAAAAACAAAACAAAAAAAAAAAAACAGAAGGAACACAAAAGGCTTCTAAGCATGAACCAAGGAATAGAAGACATGGAGTAGAGGATGGGAGCAGCATTGCTTCCCCGCAAACCTAGAAATTTTAGTTCAGATGTACATTAGCCAGTGGTTGGGTACAGCTATTACTTGGTGTGAAAAACTTAATTTCAGGCCAGGAGTGGTGGTGCAC